TCCTAAGGCTTTAATACACCCTCCAGAATATTTTCGCGATAATATTCGGCATTTATTCTCATGCCATTGTCGCTCAATACGAGTGGAGAGCGACCATCGACAGTTATGGCGGTCCACACCATCGCCATGGCCGGCGCTTGAGTTCTGGTGGCCGAAGGTGCACATTTTTACCTGACCTCTTAGCCAATGACCGTGTTTCATTTTGTTTGTTTATAAACTGGTGAAAAACGAATGTTTTCTCATCGGAGAAACCCAAATTCGGCAGTTCGCCACTGTCGGCCAAGCGAAGCAATTCTTTAGCACTTTTGAGTCTGTTTTCTTTCTGTTGCGTTGTAAGTTCTTGTACTTTTTGGAACTTCAATGACTTTTCCCCGAGCTCATTTTTCAATATTTGCCGAATGGAATATTGCGATACGTTCAGCTCACGAGCCATTTTATCGATCAAGTCGCTTCTTTACTTTTCGAACCATTTCTGCTGATGTTGCTGTTTTCTTCCGTCCACTTCCTTGACGTCGGGCTACGCTACCAGCATCATGGTATCGAAATTTTCAAAAAAAAAAAAAAAAAAAAAAAAAATATATATATATATATATATATATATATATATATATATATATATATATATATATATATATATATATATATATATATATATATATATATATATATATATATATATATAATATATATATATATATATATATATATATATATATATATATATATATATATATATATATATATACTAGCTGGCCCGGTCCGCGTTGCCGGCCCTTACTTTTAGTCTTTAATCTTAGTAATTTCTAAATAAAAATAAACATTCATGGGAAAAATTATAATAGATAATAATCTACCGTCGGTTTTAGATATTTTGAATAGCCTGATCTTATTTTTCAGCCTAAGGCTATAATTGAGTGTTAAAAACCTGTATGATATAGAACTTCTATAATAGCCCCATGTGAAAACTCAGCTAAATTTTTGGTATTGAATTTCCAATGTTAAGAATACCGTGCTGCGTGGTATTTAGTTTTGTCCACCTCATAATTGAGGGCGGAATGATTTCAAAATAGTCAAAGATAATTGCTTTTTTACACCCATTACCGTGAAATATTAATTAATTTATTTTTGTCATTTAAATTGTGAGTTGGAGAACCCATAAAGTCCATATTTTTCATCATAGAATAATTCAATAACGAACAAAAAAATTAATATTCGTGATTTTTTCATGTTTCTGCCACAATTTGATATTTCGGAGTTTATGGCATGTAGATGTTAATCCCACATCTACGTTCCCAACCAATATTCTCTTGGGAGTTTCAAATTCAATAGTATATCAAATTTTCTTTTCTGACCAAACATTGGTTAGGAAAGCGGATTTGTGGGTACACTAATGTGAGAACTATACTCGAATAAATGCCTATGTGGACAATTATCTGAGGGACGATTCTCTACCCCAGAGTTGCCTAAATACAATTTTTTAACCAAATCAATTGATGAATGTGGTCAAGACCAAGATGGACTCTACTCCGAAAATTGAAAATATTATGAGAAGAGGTTTTTTACACCCTTAGAAACAAAGATGCCAAATAAAGGCCTAAAGATGAAAAAAATGTCGAAGACCCCGAACATGGCTTAAATTATATGATGGTTATACCAAAACATGATCATATTTTGCGAGGATGGTTTCTTATCAAATTAAAATGGGTGTGAGAAAAATGTGGTTAAAATGTAAACAATACTTGAAATAGGGTTGTACCCTTATCCGGGGGTCATATATCATGACCTGCAAAAGCGATTTAAGACATCTTGAAAGTTTAGTAACAATTTCTTTCTTTTTTCCTAAATGTCCAATTCGCTCTACCATTTTGCACCCTTTATATTCGGTATTTCACTGACTGCAGTTCCAATGAATTGCATTTTGAGTTCTCACTGGGCGGATTATTGCCATATGAAAGATGTAGGTCCACGTAGGTCACTCATTTTATTTTAAATATTATTCATTCAGATTTCAAGGCAATAAAAAATGTTCACTTCAATATAGTATGTCAAATTGAAAAAATCACACCAAAAAGAAATTTGTTATTAATATTTTTATTGGATACCATTCCAAAATTGTATGAATTGTCAAGCCGTTCTTTAGTTATACCTTATGTAATTTTTTCCCCGATTTGAGAATTTTTGCAATGAGATCTCTTTTTTCAAGATTTTTAGAAATTTTGACTTAAATTTGGTGTGACCGCTTTAAATTATTTCGATAACATCTATTTCGTTTCGCCACCACATAATTTGGTACTACACTTCAATGTAACCCGGCTTCTATTTCAGTTCTCAAGAAATCGAGTCAAAATAAATTGGTATTAATATTCGAATCAAAAAGAAAAAAAAAAAAATATTAAAAAAAAACACTACAAATGTACATTCGAAAAAAGTAAGTCAAAATAGAAAAAAAAAAAATACAAAATAAAACATTACGATTGTACATTTCGGAAGTCAAAATGAAAATGTTAATATATCACATTTTTACGCGATTTTTTTGAATATTATCCTTTTCGGAAAAGAGACAATTCAGAATTTGTATGAATCGTTAAAATCAGATCAGCGGTTCTTGAGTTATAAGCGTAGTAACTAACACAACTTACATTTATATATATATATATATATATATATATATATATATATATATATATATATATATATATATATATATATATATATATATATATAATATATATATATATATATATATATATATATATATATATATATATTTACAACATTTTGAATAATTATAACTCTTATAAAATGTGATGTAAGTTTTCGATTGGTAAGGATCGGACCATTCCTTCTGGTACCTCCCCCACAAGGGGGAATAACAAAAACAATTATAAAATCTGAAATAAACTTTCGATGATCTTTATATTTCACACATCCCATAATTTCTACTACCACAAGATCTACTGTGAAGATGGCATATATCGGTCCACTGCTTCTGGTACCTCCCCCACAAAGGGTCAACATTCTGAACATTCATTCAACGGATTGGTATCCGAAGATTTTGGTATCCATTGTGCGCTGGAAATGAAGCGACGAACCTCATTTTGTAACCATTCTTGGGTGGCACGTGCTGAGTCCTATTGGAATGTCCAAGGTCGGCGGCTAAAATATTTGCGTTCCTAAGGCTTTAATACACCCTCCAGAATATTTTCGCGATAATATTCGGCATTTATTCTCATGCCATTGTCGCTCAATACGAGTGGAGAGCGACCATCGACAGTTATGGCGGTTCACACCATCGCCATGGCCGGCGCTTGAGTTCTGGTGGCCGAAGGTGCACATTTTTACCTGACCTCTTAGCCAATGACCGTGTTTCATTTTGTTTGTTTATAAACTGGTGAAAAACGAATGTTTTCTCATCGGAGAAACCCAAATTCGGCAGTTCGCCACTGTCGGCCAAGCGAAGCAATTCTTTAGCACTTTTGAGTCTGTTTTCTTTCTGTTGCGTTGTAAGTTCTTGTACTTTTTGGAACTTCAATGACTTTTCCCCGAGCTCATTTTTCAATATTTGCCGAATGGAATATTGCGATACGTTCAGCTCACGAGCCATTTTATCGATCAAGTCGCTTCTTTACTTTTCGAACCATTTCTGCTGATGTTGCTGTTTTCTTCCGTCCACTTCCTTGACGTCGGGCTACGCTACCAGCATCATGGTATCGAGCGATGGTGCGAGACACAAAAGATTTATTCACATTTAAATGCTGGAGTGCTCCAACGATAGTCACTTGTGGTTTTCCAGCCAAATAAAAAGAAATCACACTACCACGCTTGATTTCTATCACGAATAATTTCTTTCTGGAATATTCTCACCAAAATGATTTTGTACGCTTGTAAACAATATAATGAGCTGTCACTGGAATAATTTTACAAGTTGTCGGACGAGTGCCTTAGAAATGACAGCAGTCTGAATTGGTTGCAGTTTCTTCATCTCACCCTATAGTATAGTCCAAAATTGACACGTCGCAATATTTATATCATATTTATTTAGGTCCGATACGAAATGTACAAATGTTGTCCATTCCTTTGGAACCTACTCTATAGATTCATTTGAATAATCATAACAGAAGTCAAAATATATTTAAATAATCGAACATTGGCTGAGTGTATACAACTTTCGGCAAAACCGACTGATACTGTTTAACTTGTTTTGTTTCGTTGTTTGAAATTCTTTAAGGAATGGAATGAGGGATCGAGATCTCTCTCTTTTGTGACCTTGAATTTTGACACGAAAAAAGAGTTTAAACTCGATTATTCTTATAAAAATGCCCACATGTGTCATTTCATCTTTCCAGGGGAAATAAATTAATGAGAATATCTTTAAACAGCAAAAAAAAAAAAAAATATATATATTTTAATATTAATTTTAATCTGACTACCAATTTTAAGAATATTGCCTAGTATTATTGGAAAATGATTAAAAGGAGCCTTAGTTGCGTAGTTGGAATAATTCGAGAAAAATAATTGTCTCCATACGAAGAGAAAGTATGGATTTTTATAGTGGCGTCTTTAAACAACTTTATATTGTTTTATATTTTATAAAATATCACGTAGTGTTTATATGAACACATACAATTATTCATATACCATAAATTTCAATAGTTTTCGCCATAAAACAAACACTGTAGTTAAAATTGGTTTTTGAGTTTCTTTCATTTGAATTGATAATCTAGCTGGTCGTTGTTGCTACTGCTGGTAATGCAGAGCATGTTCGTGATGGCTGGGCCATTTAAAGACTTGGTTCGATGTCATTTGTTTAGAGTACAGCAAAAAAAATTAACATTTGTGGTCTAGTTTAAATGATTAATTTTTTGGTGTTTTTCTTCACGACTTCCCCGCTCTTTTCACTATTTCTAAGTAGCCAACAAGGCTGTCAATTTTCTCATTTATGTTTGTTCAATTTTTAATTTGTGTCTAATTAATTTGGCTTTTTTGTTCTCTCTTTCCAGGAATATGATATACAAGATCATCGACCGTTTCTATCACTCAATCAAAGTGGCCTAAATAAACCTGATCAAATAAAATTTGCCCGCTATCTTGGACAAGGTTTACCAACGTTTACATTATTTTGCATTTATAGTAATTTTAAAAATTTGTTTTGCACAAAACGTACCGAGAAGTAAGTATCATTTAATATTACCCCTCATCTGGTTTTCATATTTTTTGCTTTTGTTTCTTTTCTGATTAGAGATACAATGTGAATTGAGTTCAATGGCTGTGAAAGTATCTTCGGCTGTATTTATAGAAAAAACAAAAAAGGCAAAACTCAAAAAAGAAAATTAGTTAACTTGCTAACTTCAGCCTGTATCATTTGGCAATGGAAGTTTCGATTGAAAATGTATCAAAGATGCAATAACAAAATGCGATTTTTTTCAAAAAAAAAAAAAAAAAAAAAAAAAAAAAAAAAAAAAAAACTCTCAAAACCATTAAGGGAAAGTCAAAAGTCGGGCGGGCTGACTATATGATACGCTACACCGCTATGCATATTTAGTGGAGCCCCCATAAAAAAAGAATTTATTTAAAAAGATTATACCTCCTATCAACCTTTGGCTTTAGAGCAGTTATAATTTGCTTCCAGAGGTAACGAATATATGGGAGGCATATCCAATTCTGAATCGATTTTCACTAAATTAAACAGGGACATTTTAATCTTATAAAATCGCTTAGCATGCATGGTATCACTTCGAGAAGGATTATATTAAAAAATGCAAGCTCCAAATCTAAGCCGATCTCGATAAAATTTGGCAAATGTATATCCAAGCTCTATAAAATATCTTGTATCAAATATCATTGAATGTGAGGGACTTAAACACCAAATCGAATAAAAAAATATATATGGGAGCTATAGCTATATCTTAACCGATTTTCACCAAATTTAATGCATTTGCTTCAGTAATAAATTCAGGATTTGCCAAAATGTGCAAAAATTTTTCTGCTGATCTTCACTCCAAAATCGAAAATTCTCCTTGTCTAACTAACCATTGAGCCAAAAATGAGTTTCTTCGCTGAATACAAAGGTTAAACTTTGTAAACATATAGAACACATTTTTATAATAAAATTCAATGATTGGCAAGCGTTGTTCATTCATGCAAGCGTTGACGATTCATGGGTTAATTAAAGACCAAACTGAAGATGTTTGACAGAGAAAAAAACACAAAACGTGCGTGAGCTGTTTAAACCAGTGTAGCCAAAAAGATAATGGCTAAAAGGGCACCCTTATTTGTATAATATAAGTAGATCCACCTCCAATAATGTATAAAATGGATGGAGCCGTTATAGGGGGCCATACCAAAACGGAAACCTATACTGACAATTTTATACTACAAGCACTGTTATCTATTGCGAGTCTCAAATACCAAAATGATTGGATCATCAAAATAACGAATATCGATGGGTACCTTTATGTGATCAATGTTTTGACACCGGTTGTAGGTCCCATTATGAAGTACAAACACCAAATTTTACTCAAATCCCTTAGAAAAGGTGGCCAAAATCGACAAAATACCAAATATTTAAGGTCATTTGTGCGCTATAGGAAAACGTAGACCTACATATACAATGTTCCGCTACCGGAGCTAGAACCCATTACGAACTGCAAATAAAATTGGTAGACAAATCCATGGAAAAAATTTGGCTAAAACCATTAAAATGCCGAATATCGGGAGGACCATTATATGGGGGCTATAGGAAACCGTGGACCTATGCATACAATTTTCAGTCACCGAAGCTAGGACCCACTACGAACTACAAATACCAATTTTTCCGTGGAAAACGTGGCTAATACCATCAAAATATCGAATATCGAGAGTTACCGTTATATGGAGACTATAGTAAAACGTGGCCCACACAGCTAATGTTCTACCATTAGAGTAAGAATCCCTTAAAAACTCTTAATATCGACATTGGGACAATTCCGTTGAAAAATGTGGCTAAAATCATCAAAATATCGAATATCGGGAGGTACCGTTATATGGAGGCTATAATTAAACGTGTGCCAAATTTATCTCATTTTCAATACCAGCCATCCTAGGTATAATACACACACTTGTGCCAAATTCTACGTCAAATAATGTGGGCTGTATCGAGTTTTTAGAATTTTATACGGATAATGAATATATTTTTATGGGGTCTATGACGAATATTTCGATATGCAATAGAATGACAAATTATATATACCCTACTTTCCATGATGAAGGGTATGAAATGAGTGATTCATTGTCACCGGCAATAATCGATGTTAGAAGTACCCCCTTTCAGTTGATCTAGAACGAATTTTGCTAAGAATCGTGTGTATGTTTTATTACTCCATGTTTAACAGCGATTTTGTCCTTCTCGAGGATATATATAGCCTGTTAAATTAAATATTATACATTGCACCTGGATTCCTTGTACGGCCTTTTTTTTGATAAATTTATGTTACAATTGTACCAGTGGACTAAAGTTGGGAGAATGCGATGCCTGCGGCACCATTAGTAAACACACAAGACAAGACGCAATCTTTGTTATCCATATCCGAGAGTTGTTGGCCGATTATTTCAGCTAATTTATACATAATTTGCAGGTTATGTTCTTTATTTGTGAAAATCATTTCCAAATGTTCTGAAATAATACAGATTTATTTGAATGGTTTCAATCTCTAATCAGAAATGTTTTTATTATTTATGAAATGTTGTTTAAAATTTAACTCGGCAATCGCTAATATTCACCTCTTCCCATTTCAGCTACACAAAGGATGGCTATAATTTGCCTTATATTTTAGAGAAAACTAAGAGCTTTCTAGCAAACACTGCAGCGGGTAAGTTTGAATGAGAAAATAATACAACCGAAATATCATTATTAGGCAAGTTTAGAAATGGCACCTTATTAATGTACATTTAATAGTTTTAGAGCATTTGCCTTGATTTGCGCCACTTACAAATGAAAATAAATCTCCTCAGGATATGAAAAACAAAAAAATAGATATCAAACACATTAGGTAAAAAACATTTCAACACACATTTTGTAAAAAAAAGAATAGATTATATAGTTAGCTTTAATATCCTTTTTCTTTGCATTATGTTTTGTATTTTTTATCTTCTGTTCTAAAAATTGGCCAAAACGTTTTTAATTATTTTTATTTAGAATTTATTTTTAATTATCTTCTTTTGTTTTGAAACAAATTTTGGTTCTAATCAAATTGGCATAAATTATGTTTTAGGTACTGACAATCGAACTGTCCCTAGCACTAGCAACAACAATAGTAACAGTAACACAGCCACCACCACCAACACATCCTCCTCGGTGATGCCCAACTCGGTTGCAGCAGTAGTCGCGGTCAATTCCAGTAATGCAACAAATTCCCCCATCACCACTTTCAATACAAATAATAGCACCACAAGCACCTCTGTTCCTTCAAACACGAACACCACCACCTCCGCCTCGAATGACATCAATGCAGCAACAACCACGCCAGAGGAGAAGTCAACGTCTCAGCCAACGGAAGCGGCAGTAAATGCAAACAACGGGGATTCTACAGTCAACGGTGAAAATGCCCACGGCAATTCAAATGGTCATGTTCAAGGGAATGGCAGCGACATAACACAAACCCCAACCAAACAAACGCCCATGAATGTGCCATCTACGCCAAGGAGTTCGCATATGCTGCATCACAATCAGCAGCCAGGCCAACAACAAGCGCCAACTGCCCCCACTACTCCCTTGACAGCACTTTCTCAACAACATCAGCAACAACAACATTTGGTCAATCACCAACAACATCATATTTCAAGTCTATCCCGACCCCAAACACCAAATACACCAAATTCTCAACAGCACCACAACCTACCGCAGCAGCAACAAGCATTGGCCCACATACACCCACACCATGTTCAACGCCCCGCAATGCCTATGAGCCCCATGGTTGTGGTTAGCTCTGCCAATGTAATTCCCACATCAGTTATTGGTTCACCTTTACCTCCCACTAATGCAGCTAATCATCATCTACAACATCCTCATCCACATCACCCACAGCAGCAGCATCACCTTCCGCAAGCAGTGCTACATCATCAATCTCCCCAGCTGCACCATCAACAACATCATCCCCATCATATGCAACAACAACAACAGCCGCCAAATCATATGGTCCATCATTCGATTCAAATGTCCAACCATCAGCAGCACGTTGTCGTTCAGACCAGTAATGGGGGTGGTGCTGTTGCCGTAGGTGGCGGGTTTGTCTATCAACAACAGCCGCAGCAGCAACAAATGCAAAAACAGCAGCTTCATCTACAACAACAACAACAGCCCCAGACACAACATCCTCTGCAACACATAGCTACTCAAAACCCACCCCATTAGAACAACATAATTATAAATCCCCAAAAATTATACACCACCCGCAACCCGACTATTCTCCAACACAATAACAACATGCTAGATTTATATTTTAGGTTAAAATTCAAAATTTCAAAATATACAAACATAACACACATATTTTTTTCTTGTTCTACTAAATTCGTATTTTGTCCATTGCTATTATTTGGTTCGTTTATTCTTTTGTGTAGAGCTACTGTATATGGTGTTCTAATTTCTAATTTATTGTTGTTTGTTTTTATTTCTGTTTATCCATTAAGGCAAAAAGTATGCTACACATTTAAATTTAGTATTGCATTAAGGCTATTGTTTAGTATTATTTTTACAAACCAAACCCTCTTTAGATTATGAATACAATTTTGTTCCGTTAGGAAGATGTTGAATAAGTCCAATTTTTACCAATTGTATTATGAATAATTTTTTGTAAAAATGTTCACAAGAACTCAGCTATTTATATGGGCTATAAAGCTATTCTTAATTTCCAAACTGTATTCGTTAGCCTGTAAATCATTGACAATCCCCATAACATAGAATAGCCGTATTGGAATATTTCCACCTCATCACTTTACCACTAGCCTTTGAGATTAAAAATGAGCAATCTTGACCATTTTCATTTCCAACAACAGATGATGAGACAAAAATAATCTCTGATTTTTAAAATTATTTGAATTGAATACAACTACATATGTTCTCTAATAGACTGATAGATCGACAACATATACACAGTGAATGTGAAAATAATTTAGCATCAAGACTTTCAAAATGTGTATTTATGTAGGGGCAATGGTTATGTAGATAGGCAAAATCATAGCATTTCAAAGTGTTCTTGTTATCGTAAATTACATGCAAGTTTACTTACATATACCCCGCATAATCGACCATAGAAACAGAACGCAGAATTCTCGTAAAGCAAATGCCATTTAATGTGAATATATATATTTGATACTTGGGCGATTTTACAAATGAGGAAGAGAAGGGAAGGTTTCAAAATTTAAAATTTATATAAGGTATGAAATACAACGCGACATAACAGAAAAGTTTACCCTCCCGCCCCATACATATGTGTATATGATTATAATATGTATAACGAAGTCATTATGTCCACGATTATGTCGATGTTGTCGTCATTATTGTTGCTGTGCGTGTTTCTATTTCTACCCATACCCATACCCATTTCTCTGAGGCTTCATAAAAGTTAGGACGTTTCGAAATTTGTATTTTCGGGCTGTCTTTTCTCTACAATTGTCGTGAGCATTTCGGGTTAAAATATTTTTTTAGACAAATACTTATTAGTATCATTATCATAAGTGTATGTATTAGTATCAGAAATACGACACGCTTTCATTTATTTGAGCAAAGTAAAAAACTATTTATTTTTACAATGGAAATTGAATTTTTGTTTGAAAAAGTGTGTAGAAAATAAAGTTTAAGTAGTCTGGAATTATGTATGTATTATTGGAAACAAAATGTATATCATGGGTCGAAAAGCACTTGGCGCATCTTAATGCTCAAAATAATAAAAAGAAAATGTTTGGCCATCGAATAAACAAATGATGGGCACTAGAAAATTATGCAAAGCAGATAAAATTAATTAAGATTATCGTCTGCAGGTTCTCGTCATATGCCTATGTAGTGAATATTTTAAAAAAGTATTTGCATTATTTTAAATTTAAGCTAAATATGAGTCCATAAGTTAACTAAATTAATATGAGACCATAGATCCCAGAGATTATTTTCTGCAGCAAGATAAATACTCATATTTTCCATCTCAATTTTTTATGAAAACAAGAAATTATATTTATCGACTATAGGATGAACAGTATATTAATCTTTAACTAGACACGTGATGGTAAATATAACACCATCAATGTCAACTTTTTGCTCGAATTCATAAATGCCTAACAAACAAGTCCATTAAGTAAAGCATTAAATAATTTATAATAATAATTGATGTTTGTGACTTCTTGGTTGTGAACAAAAGGTTTCAATGAAAATTAAGAAGAAAGTTTGTTTTATATCCTCCACCATACATATTCTCGATCACCGTAAGATTCGATGTAGGTCCTGTCCATGTGTAGAAATCACGTTTGAGTCCAAACGGTATGATTTTGCATAGAGTTGTCTTTTGTATACAGGCAGGTCAAGTTCGATTAAATGTACTAAATCGGTTAACCTTTTCACATAGCCCCCATATATTTTCAGTATTTAGCGATTTTAGCCAAATTTTCTAACGCAATAATTTAAAATTAGAGTTTATAACGGGTTCTACGCTCTGTGGCAGAATATTGCCTATAAAGGTCCATTTCGTATAGACACCAATAACTGTACCTCCCTATATTCACTATTTTGAGATAAAGGGATTTACTCATGTACCCCTGCCCCCACAATTCTATGGAGGGTATATCAAATTTGATCAGCGTAAAATTCTATGTCGATTTAGCGATGTGCGTCAGTCTGTCTGTCTGTTGTAACCACGCTATCTTTGGAACGACTTTTGCACACATGTGTATTTTTCCAGTAAATAGATTAAGTTCATTTTTTGATTTTCGACCAATTTAATTATTTGTTACTGGTTTTTATCGGCCTATTTTAAAATGAAAACAAGATTTATTTCATTTTTTGCTCGACGTTTCGTTGGCTTTTTTCCAACATTATCAAGAGCTTATTTATTTGAAATTTTTAATTATTTGTCATTATTATCTATTAATATGCATTAAGTTCATGTCGGCCCACGTTTTCATATAGCCCCCATATAACGATGCCTCCCGCTATTCGGTATTTTGATGACTTTAGCGACTAAATTAACCGGGATTGTTTCAAAATTCGTAGTTGAAATTCGTAATAGGTACTACAGCCTATCACAAAAAATCGTGTTTTCAGGTCCACGTCTCGGATAGCCCCCTAGACGATACCTGCTGATATTCGGTATTTTGATGGTTTTAGCGATATTATTAACCGGAATTGTTTTCAATTTATATTTGACGTTCTAAATCGGTACTACAGCCTATGACAAAAAATGTCTTATGAAGGTTCCTTCGTATAGCCCCCATAGAAGGGATTTCATTTAAGAGATAATGCTCTACGGATTTTTTTTTTAAATTTTCAAGTTCACCAGTTCAAGACTAATTTTGACATTACTATGTAACAACTCTAAATATTCGTCGAAGGCCCCATAAAAAATTACGTTTACCCTTCTATCTTACAGCGTAACAATGACATTTTGCACAGAAACTGATTTTTATATTTCCTTCCCAGTTTGTGGAATAGCTCCAGCTTTTGTAACGCCAAATTTGCAGACAAATGGTGGACTGTAATATGGTACTTACGGCTAAATGTTATTCTTGAAAATGCCTATTTTTATGGTAATTAAATTATTCAAATTAGATTTGGCCCAACATATCTAGGTAAACGTCCTGTCTGCACCTTTGTGCCATAGTTTATTACCGAATACATTTGGCATCAGGTCGAACCTTTGGAAACAACTGACACTTTGGTCAATAGATGTTGTCATGAAAACTGTGAAACATTTCCAAAACAAATTTACCGACCTAATGTTGCAGAAAGGAATCAGCTGAATCATATGCGTGTTTTAGGGAATCAAATAAAATCAGTTTTGTCTGAAAATGTTGTTTGATTAAATTTTGCTATAAATATTTGGTATGTTCGGCGTATGTAATTGCGCATGGAGCAGCACATAGAAAAAGAGAAGATTAATGGTACTCAAATGGCTGACATGTTAATTTGTCCATTTCCTATTTAAACCCAACCATAAATCCGATGAAACAACAGCATATTGTCAAGAACTTAATATATGTATATATCGAATACAAGTATTTTGAAGGCTTTGGAGCCACAGTTTTCAAAAGTGCAATTTTGAGTATATTTTGATCACGTAGTCGCTGTTACCAAAAAGTATAAATTTGTATTATTATTTAATCTGATGATGTGATATAAGACTGAGGTTTTTATCTTAGGGGACAAGCCATCACTTTAAGGCCAAAACGCTGGGATTCGCCAAATATTCATACGGTATTCCGCAATATTGATCAAAAATATAAAAAAGAGTCTTTATACAGAAACGTTCTTTCTCATATGTACGTCGGTCTATTTGAACATACAATATTACTGCTACGACCAAAAGAAAGAAAAACAGTCTTTCACACCATATATATTAAGAATACTCATTCAATACTACAACCACAACTCGCTTCTACCTATACATGTAGTGCATTTACATTTATTTTGCAAAACCTAAATATACCATTTTTTCTACTATTTTAATTTATAAATATGCATTTTAATTATACCGTACAACACTATGTGTTGGGGGTATTATAAGTTTGATTGGGCCAGAATTTATGTAACACCTCGAAATATTGGTTTCCCATATAGGAAAGTATATATGGATCTTCCTAGCTCGCCGAGCTGAGTCGATCTAGCTATGTATGTCCGTCCGTCCGTCTGTCCGTCTGTCCATGTTAATTTGTAATCACGCTACAGGTCGCAATTATGGCCCGATCCTTACGAAATTTTGCACGAAGGTGAGGTTAGGGTCAGAATAGAAGCCTATTTCTTTTGGAGATGATCGCCAAATGTTTAGGGGTTGAAATGGACCAAATACTGAAGAAATGTAGGATTTTGCAGTGGCTATACAGGTCGCAATTATAGACCAATCGACGCGGAATTTCGCATGTAGCTAGAGTTTAGGGAAGAAGCCTACCAATTTGGGTGGTCATCGGATAATATTTAGCGGGTAAAATAGATTATATCTTCTGTGTTGAAAAAATTCAAAATTTTTCATTAAACCGTGAATATTTTAAATCCCGTCGAAATCACAAAGCCATGACAAGGTTACTTCTGACCTTTACATTGATGTTAACATCCAACAAATCGGATATATAGCAAAATATGTGCGATATATATGTCTATCAAATAAGATATGCTTGGAAGATCTTTTATATGTCGAGAACGGCTGAACTGATTTCGACAGTTCTCATTAATTCAAAATGGCCTCTTGGCAGGAAAGAAAAAACGTCTAAAAAATTGCATAAAAATATCTCTCTAAAGATGAAAATATTGATTTTGTAATGTTTTCTCATATTTTTTCAATATTGTCATAT